GAATGATGTGTATTATAAATAAAGTTGACAAAAAATAAGTACAAGTGCAACTCGATGCAGTTTTAAAATGAAAATAATATTCACAAGTATATGATAAGTAAAGTTTTTATTATAAAAAAGATCATTTTATGGGTATCATATACTGTTATGGGGATAGAAAGATTTATTTTAGTTTGCCATCATAGAGCATGATATGTATCGCGCGTATCGATATAGACGAAAAAAAGGAAATGAAAACGAATAATTTAATGCGTGAATTATAGTTTATAGGCGTACAAAGTAATATTACCTGAAGTATAAATGTAAATTAATAGGTTGTTGCAACTGCCATGACGTGTGCCATTAAATTATTGATGCGAGTCACTATTACCATAAAAGTGTATGAAGAAGCAAAAAAGTGCTTTTTGCCGACAAATTTCTTTTTCGCGTGCAAGTATGTACTTTCTTTAAAAGAAGCATATTTAATTGTTTATCGATTACCAATATTACGTTCGAACATGGATTTGAACTCGTCACAGTAAATACTTAGAAAATTACGAGTATTATTGTAATTAAACGTTTCATAAAACGTGTTTGTTTTTTAAACACAATTTCTGGAAAATTAAATGAAATCCTGTTGGTATGCCATCTAGAAACATACCAATACTCATCATTCATCTGACATGGCCAAAATTTTGAAAAATGTTTCGAAAGGTGGATATTTTGTTGAAAAATTCATCAAATTACACAGGCAATAAAGTAAATTTGTTTAAAGAAATAAAAAAAAACAGGAGTTGAATGAAAATTACTTGATGTTGAATCTCATACACGTATCTAATATTAAACACACTGAACAGAGCAAAACACATTTTAAACAAATGAAAGACTTGTCAGAAATCGAACATAATAAAATATATGAAATTTTCTTGAAGAATCTTTTATCTATGGAAAATAATATTGATATTATTATTAATTAACAGAATCACACAAAAAATACATCACTAAACTATAGTTATGACAACAGATTTATTGTATGGAGATATTAAATTGTATGTAATTACTAATAAATATAAGATTGTTGATTTATCCTAGATTCAAGCACAATAAGTACTATATATATAGAGAGAGAGGCCAGGCACAATAAAAATTTGGCCATTATGTTGTAGCAAGCGGTGACATAGAAAAAATTATTATTATTATTATTATTATTATTTAAATCTTAGAGCAAAATATTAAATAAATACATATTCTCTATTGTCGAACTGATAAAACTGTCATTTCTCAACAACCCTTGACTATATATACCAATAGTGTAAGTAAGTATATACTCACTAAAGTTAAGCACTTACATCTATCAGTTTTAACAAAACGCTTTATCACTTATCGTGAAAATACCAATTCTTTGAAAAGCTTTCTGACCATCATCTAATTTTTTTTACACTGATCGTGGGCTGGAAACCGGAAATAAATTTCCCGGGCTACCGTAAATATAAGTATACACGCATTCACATGAATGATTAAAGATAATAAAAAATCGAATATTAGACCTGTTCCGGCCCCATTGATGGTCCGATTGACCGGTTGGCCGGTCCCGGTGCTGATGTGTATAGATACACTTTTCTTAACACAAAATACGTATATTGTAAAACTGAAAAAAATCAGGTCCTCGGTTCTAAGTCTAGCTTCAGGGTTTAGGTCAGGAATTGTTTAATAAGGGTATATTGGACCCTATAGCGTTTTACCGTATACGCTGACGGAATATTTCCAGAAGCAAAGTCAAATTATAGCCGTTACACATACCCTATAGGGGCTATAGGTCGTAATTCGCAATGAGAAATGAACAACAAACTACGCGTCGTGATGATGATCTCTTGTTGTTTTTTTGCGTATGTGCCGTTAGTGTACAATGCGCAAATAAACAAATAACTACTTATATAATACTTACATAAGTTCTATGTTCCACAATAGCACAGTAGTTTGAGGAGAGTGCCGCCAAAGACGTTGAATTTCGGTACACATACATAACCTCATTTGCTCAAATTATACCTATTTCATGTCCAGTGACACTCAAATAAAAGAATTTGGGAAAATACCTAAAGAGTACGTAGGTTTGTAGGTAATTGGTATTATTTTAATTCTTGTCCTTCAAGAATTATCATACATGTCGCGATTCACGATTTTTATGCAATCGAGGAACGTACAACAACACATGTTCGAACGTTCAAAGTCTTTGATCAAAGGACCACAGTGTGAGAGCCAATTCATCCAATCAGCGACAAAAGTTCGTCCACCGGCCACGCCACGTGATGAGGATTTTATCATTGTGTACATATATATACCTACGTAAGTATATGTTAGCGAATGACTGCGACTCTTTCTTGAGAGTTGCAGAATCTTGATTATCTTTACTTGAGTCGGCGTATTCGTTGTTCAATCATCAGTGGACTTTGCTTCTTCTCGAAATTTCGACCAGTTTATTCTTTACTAGTTTCCAATATGTTGAAGGTCAAGTATTTGCGTGCATAATTATGATTTGCTTTTGTGGTTTTTTGCTTTACTTACAATTTACACGACCAACATACCTTATTCTTAACTTGGTCCGGCTTTCTTTTTTTTTTTTTTTTTTTTTTTTTTTTTTTTTTTTCTTTTTCTTTTTTAGAGCACTAAAAGCCGCACAAGCAAAGATTAAAGCTGCAGCTGCACAGCAACAAGAGGTCAGTATCGAAATGTGTTTGGTTTATCGTGTGTTTTTATTCCCGATTAAAACTTTGTCTNTTTTTTTTTTTTTTTTTTTTTTTTTTTTTTTTTTTTGCAAAACGAGTTCCTCTGTACATTTCCACTGACACGCCTCTTTTGTTTCATTTGTTTATTACTTGTTTTAGTTTTTTTTCCACTCCAAAGATGAAATATTCATAAAAAAATATTGTGTTTTGACTTTAGTTTTAATCATGCTAGAAGTAATATAACTTTTTTTTATTCACTTGATGAGCATATGTTGCAGAAGTAATGTTGTTTGGTATATGGAAAAAATCACTACTTATTATTTAATTATGAATTAAGTACTCATTAATGTGAATCTTTTATTTTTAATTGATAGTTGTTCTTGCTTGTACTTCAAAGGTAGAAATGAAATAGGTGTTTAACTGATTCAATTTTTTATTAGGGTGTGGTAGCTCTTATTACTGGAGGAGCCTCTGGCTTGGGCAGAGGAACAGTCGAAAGATTCGTCAATCAAGGTGCAAAAGTTGTCCTTGGAGATCTTCCCTCATCCAAAGGAAATGATGTTGCCAGTGCACTTGGGGACTCAGCAGTCTTTGTACCTATGGATGTAAGTTTCATTTTATTGAAAAAGCAGTAATATAATTCCTCTGTTATAAAGTTTCTTCACCAACTTTTTATAACAAAGTACTGTTGAGAAGAAATCTGATAACGTAACAAAAATTTTGAAGTTTTCATTCAGATACTTAGGTGTATTCGTTGTTTTCTTTTTGAAAACGTTGGATTGTATGTTTTTGTTTCATTGTAAGTCCTCTCAATAATTTGCAAAGATTGAACTTAATTAGGCAACCTACAGTCTACTTTGAAAAGCGTGATTGAATTTAAAGTAAAAGTTTATATTTGCAGGTGACATCAGAAGAACATGTTCTGAAGGCCCTGGATGTAGCTAGGGACAAGTTTGGTCGTCTCGACGTGCTTGTCAATGCAGCTGGTATTGCCACTGCCTTCAAGACGTACAACTCGCAAAAAGACTCCTGCCATAGCCTCGAAGATTTTGAAAAAGTCCTCAAAGTTAATACTCTTGGCACGTTCAATGCAATCAGACTGTCAGCCAGAGTAATGGCCAAGAACGAGCCAAACGCGGATGGCCAGCGAGGAGTTATTATCAATACCGCCAGTGTTGCAGCTTTTGATGGCCAGACTGGCCAGGCTGCTTACTCTGCTAGCAAGGGTGCAATTGTTGGCATGACTCTACCAATTGCTCGTGATCTGTCTCGCATAGGTAAGTGTGATTTTATGTCATTTAAAAAAATGAAAAGTTACAATTTTTCATTTGAATACATTGTATTAACTGTAACAATTCTTGCATCTATACATCAAAGCTTCTTTTTTGTTTATTTTTTTTTTAGTTGAACAGCTGATAGTAAAAACTTGATAAAAATATGATGAAAGGCATTTTAAATTTATTTTATGTTTATTTTTGTCGAAAATTCGTGACATGATATATTTGATTGCTGCACAAAGCTTATTTCTCTCTATCTCCGTTATTACTTAGAAAGTTACTTTGTCACTCGTTTTGTTGGAACCCTTATTTTAACAATGAAAAGTGAGCAAAAAAGCCATATTTTCTCCATTTTTCATTATTCAGGAAAATCAGTAACGTAGATATATATGTATATAAATAAAATTGTGATGTTCAATGACACATAACAAACTTAAACAAACAATTAATACTAAACAATACTCTTTATACAATACTGTTTGAGTTTTTGTACGACGAATACAAACGTATGTGTTATATGCTGCTATATAATCTCAATATCAGGAGTTCGAGTGGTAACGATTGCTCCTGGACTATTTGACACTCCATTATTAGCTGCGCTACCGGATAAGGTACGAACTTTCCTCGCCAAAAGCATTCCCTTCCCCCAAAGACTGGGCAAGCCAGAAGAGTACGCGCATCTGGTTCAGGCTATCGTGGAAAATCCATTGCTCAATGGCGAAACTATAAGACTGGATGGAGCTCTTCGCATGCAGCCATAAGAGACATTTACATTGAGTTTCTACTATTTTTTAGTTTTTTTGTTTTTTTGCCTTTTTTTTTCTTTTATACCAATTTTTACTACTAAAAATAAATGCACTTGTGTGGCAATGGGTTGATAGTTTTGTAGAAGTTAGAAATGACTACTCATGTATAAAATCATACGGAAAGTTGATTTTTACAATTTTTGTTACTTCTTGTTTACCAGTAGGCATAGAAAAAAATTTGTACATAAGATTGGATAACATTTTTTAAATGTTGGAGCGTAGTGCATTAATTTTTAGCAGGGCTTTTACAATGCTTTTTTTTAAGTATTTTATATGATCAAATTGTTAACTGTACTTTTACATGTGAATGAATTCAAATATCAATGAGAAAGAAACAACTGCCTTGTTGTGCTCAGTGCAATGTCATTAATGAATGAATAAACAAATATTTTTGTACACTTAACACCATTGTAATTCTTCTATATATAATTTACACGAGCAATTAACTCGGGACTCGGGGTAGGCTATTACAGGTCACAGTCGTTGCTTGATACGCTGTTTCCTTTTTTTTTTTTTTTTTTTTTTTTTAAACCCCTTTTTTCATTTTTTTTTTTTTTTTTTTTTTTTTTTTTTCAATCCTCATTTTCTCATTTTTATTATTATTATTTTTTTCTGTTATTTGCTTGTAACACGCTGTACATCGTTAGTATAATTTATCAATTCATTGCGTTATAATTATTCCTTGTAAATGACGTTGCAAAAATCGCAACTCGTCGCTTTGAGTTGTCTTTTTGTAATTACTACCATTATTACTATGTGTGTTATAAACTCGCTAAAAGACTAGGAGAGAAAACAAAGATACGCAATATGATATACTTACATACACTAGCAAAATTTTATTTACGTATCGGTGTTTTCGCCTCTTTATGCCTCTGTGAACGTTTTCTCAGATTATACTGTGTAGATATTGTGGATGTGTGTTTTGTTCTTTAAACGTAATTATACGTTATTGTTGTCCTTTTCGCGCTATAACATGAAAATATTTAAGCGTTACGTGACGTTATAATATATTATTATATAGTCTTTTTAACGTCTGTTGATGATTAATTAAACCGATGCATTAACACATTCTAAGGGAAAATTCGATGTGTATAAGTGTATACATGTGAATTGTGATTGAATGAATGAGCAAACATCATTTAGCTTTTATAATGTATAGGATACTCAGTGTCCCATCTTCCATTTTCTTCACATTAAATATTCGTTCATCCCATTCGTTTCTCGTTATGTATAGTATTTATATGTCCTTTGTTTTTATACATGTAAATTTATATATAGGTTTTGTTTAGTCTTCTTGTTTCCCAACTACCTCGAGAGAAATCCAGAACTCGAGCAGGTGACTTTACGGAAGAGCCAATTTCCTCCTTTGCTTCGTCGCAGTTATTAAGGCAGGAGAGCAGCGGCAGCGCAGCGCGTTTTTGTCGCTCGTTATTATTATCATCATCATCATCATCATCATCATCATCATTATTATCCTCGTCATCCCCGCAACGCATCCCTCGAAGATCACTATAAGCCCGAGCTTTAGTCAGCCCTAGGCGTTTGATTCTTTGAGGTCCTGGAGCTTCTGCAGCTGGTCGGGCTGGAGCTCGTCGGGTATGCTTGCTCTACCGCCGACGAGCATCTTACCGCTGGGTGGTTCCGCGGGCGGCGACTGTTCAGCTGGCTGGTCCTCCGCGGGGGCGGCAGCTGGGCCACCCGAGCGCGCAGCTGGCAGACACTGCGAATTATCGCCGGTGCTCGGCCCGGACACCGACTCCGCGTCGCTGCCCGAGGAGCTGCTCACAGGAAAGGGTGCCGAGTCCGTCGGCTGGTCGTCCGGGATCATCTTCTCCTCGGACTCTGCCTTCTTCAGCGCGTCTGACTGCGGCGGTGGTGCAGACTCCACTTCCTCCTCCTCCTCCTCCAGGATCTGAGGCTCGCTGGCCTTTTCCGGCTCGATGGTCTTCTCGCTTTCGATGCTAGGCTGCTGCTCTTGCTCCTCGGGTGTCTCTGTTGGCTCTGTGCCGGGGAACGGTCTGTCTGGCTCTTCCATGGGCGTCGCAGCTGTTATGACTATCTGGGCCACCCCGAGGCCGACGTCCCCGTTCTCGTCCTGGAATATCGTGATTTTTATTTTAGTTGGTTACGGGCTGTTCCGGTGTTGTCTATTTCGTTTCGCTATCAAAGGCTTGGAAATAGATATATAATGATAATAAAAAGTGGGTGTAAATCTACTTGGTTTGTCACAGATGCTTTGGACGGGTTTATCGAATGCATTGTAGTAAAAGTGTTAAAAATGAATTTAATACAATTTTTAATTTGCAAAACTCAGTTTTTTTGTGTCTTAAGTATTACAAGTTTATTTATTTATTTATTAATTTTTTTTTTTCATTTTAAATTATTATAAGGAATTTTACAC